TTAAACATTTCTTGCATCTTCTCAATCTTTGTCTCCAGGCTATTTATTTGTAACTCCATTTTGTTTTCAAGATTTTGGATCATTTTTATTATCATTATTCTAAATTCTTTTTCAGGTAGATTCCCTATTTCCTCCTCTTTTGTTTGACTTGGTGGGCTTTTTTCATGTTCCTTTAGCTGTTGGGTATTTCTCTGCCTTTTCATCTTGTTTAGATTGCTGTGTCTGGAGTGGGCTTTCTGTATTCTTGTGGTCTGAGGTTCCTTTTTATTGTGAAGGTTTCAGCCAGTGGGTGGGGTTGGACGATTGGTTTGTCAAGGTTTCCTGGTTAGGGAAGCTTGTGTCAGCGTTCTGGTGCGTGGAATTGGATTTCTTCTCTCTGGAGTGCAATGGAGTGTCCAGTAATGAGTTTTGTGATGGATCTGTGTGTTAGGTGTGACTTTGGAGAGCCTGTATGTTGACACTCAGGTCTATGTTTCTGCGTTGCTAAAGAATTTGCGTGGTATGTCTTGTACTGGAGCTTATTGGCTCTTGGGTGGTGGTTGGTTTTGATGTAGGTATGGAAGCTTTTGGATGGTCTCTTATTCCTTAATGTTCCGTGTAGTCAGGAGTTTTCTGGTTTTCTCAGGATTTGGGCTTAAGTCTCCTGCCTCTGGATTTCAGTTTTATTCTTCCAATAGTCTCAAGACTTCTCCAACTATACAGCACTGATAATAAAACTTCTAGGTTAATGGTGAAAAGATTCTCCACCGTGAGAGACAACCAGAGAGGTTCACAGAGTTACATGAAGAATAGGAGAGGGAAGAAGGAGATAGAGGTGATCAGGAGGAGAAAAAGGGGACTCAAGAGGAGAGAGACAGATCTACGCAGTTATCTGTTCCCAAAGTGTTCTCCGTAGCCCAGACACCCACAAAGATTCACAGAGTTGGATTGGGAAGAGAAGGGGAAAGGAGGAAATAGAGGTGTTCCGAGGTAGAAAACAGAGAGTCAAAAGTGGGAGAGTAATCACCACACTCCTGAATAGAAATGGGAACTGAATATTGGATTCTTAAATGACCAAAATTTATATCACATACTACTGAAAAACAAAGATTAAAAATCTAGTGTAGAGGTTAGACTCTTTGAAATACAATATTTAAAAACAAAAACACACAAAAAAATTTAGAAATGTATATGAAGTTTGATTTAAAAATAGGGTTTTTCTCTCTCTCCTTTTTTTTTTTTTGGCAAGGTTATAGTGAAATGAAAATGAAAATTAAGGAATAACAGAGGAGTATTAGAGGACTTTAAAAGGAAATAGGAGAGAAAAACAAGAAAAAGAAAAAAAAAAGAAAAAAAAATTTGTTTTTCCCTAATTAAAAAAATCGTAAAAATATATGAAAATGAAAGTTGAGGAGTAATGGGGGAGTAATAGGGAATTTTAAAAGAAAATAAAAGCGAAAAAATAAAAAAAATTAAAAAAAGGATAGAAAAAAAATTTTTTTTTTAAATTAAAAAAAATATATATATATATCGAGGAATTTCTCTGGAGTTGTTGCAGTCAGCGTAGGTTCAGTTCAATTTCAGATAGCTCCTCTTTCCAGCTTACACTTCTCGATATCTGTAGGCCCCTTCTGGTGTAGTCGGTGTTACCTTCAGGGATTTTAATCTGTTGCACCAGTCCTTTCTGAAGCGGTTCCCTTTGTTTATTTGGCTTCTGTTTGCCGTCTCTTTGGTGTCTAATTTCCGCCCTGACGCAGGCGGGTGGAGGTGATCTCTTATTTAGGTTCGCTAGTTCAGTTCAGTCCTGCTACAGGGAGGGCGGGGCGCTGCAGACAGATACCGCTCTGTGTGGATAGCACTCACCGTGTTCCGGCCACACTGGGTTTGCCCCGCTCACGGGTGTCAGTGCTTTCCCCGTCTACACTGCTCAGGCTCCCGGCTGCTCTATATGGAGCGGGCCCTGCGTTGAGTGCGGTTCCAGTTTTCGGGTACTCCACAAAAGCGCGGATTCGGTTGCGCCTGCATTTTGTGCCTTCCCCGGCCTGAGCGGTTCAGGCAGCCAGAGGCTTGGGGCACTCTCCCCGGATGTGGCGCGCCTTTTCCCTCCACGGCGAGCGGCCCAGGCAGCTAGAGGCTTGGGCGCACTCTCCCCGGATGTGGCGCGCCTTTTCCCTCCGCGGCGAGCGGCTCAGGCAGCCAGGGGCTTGGGCGCACTCTCCCCGGATGTGGCGTGCCTTTTCCCTCCGCGGCGAGCGGCCCAGGCAGCCAGAGGCTTGGGCGCACTCTCCCCGGGTGCGGCGCGCCTTTTCCCTCCGCGTCGAGCGGCCCAGGCAGCCAGAGGCTTGGGCGCACTCTCCCCGGAGGTGGCGCTCCTTTTCCCTCCGCGTCGAGCGGCCCAGGCAGCCAGAGGCTTGGGCGCACTCTCCCCGGGTACGGCACGCCTTTTCCCTCCGCGGCGGGCAGCTCAGGCAGCCAGAGGCTTGGGCGCACTCTCCCCGGGTGCAGCGCGCCTTTTCCCTCCACGTCGAGCGGCCCAGGCAGCCAGAGGCTTGGGCGCACTCTCCCCGGGTACGGCGCGCTTTTTCCCTCCGCGGCCCCAGCGCGCGCCGCCAGTCGGGTCTCAGGAAGTCTTTAGAGAGGAACCGGGGGCCTGTTTGCAGTGTGGGAGCGGGTGGCTTCTCAGGGGCTGAGTTTGCCCTTTTCCCCTCCCCCCTGCCTCCAACCTCCAGCGGGGATGGGCCGGCTCTTCTCTGGACTTTCTCAGTCCCTTTGTTTTGCGAACCGCCGGCAGTGTGTTCGGGCCGGTTAACTTTGACCCTTGCTATCCCACAGTTTAAAAAAGCTCCCTCCGATTGCTCTCAGGGTCTTCGGGCCGGTCCTTACCCTAAGCAATGCCGCCCGCTCCTCTCCGTCCCGCCCCCGCTTGTTGCTTGCGGGTACGGGCGTCTGGGGTACTTTTCTGCTGGGAGTTGCTTTTAGGCACGTAATCTGTGGGCCTTTAATTTTTCCTCCCAGTTAGATTGCTGAAAACTTCCCCCAGTCCCGCCAGTGCGAGGGTTTCCTGGTGATTGGAAACTTCCTCTATTAAGACTCCCTTCCCGGGACGGGTCTCCGTCCGTAGCTCTTTTGACTCCCTTTTTATCTTTTATATTTTGTCCTACCTCCCTTCGAAGACAATGGGCTGCTTTTCTGGGCGCCTGATGTCCTCTGCTAGCGATCAGAAGTTGTTTTGTGAAATTTGCTCAGCATTCAAATGTTCTTTCGATGAATTTGTAGGAGAGAAAGTGGTCTCCCCGTCCTATTCCTCCGCCATCTTGGCTCCTTCTCCCTTCTAAGTAATTCTTGACCACAGTAGTAGATATAACTGTCATCTAAATTAAAGTAGCCCATTCCTGTCCATTTTAGTTCACTCATTCCTAAGTTGTCGATGTTCAATTTTGCCATCTCCTGCTTGACTATGTCCAATTTACCTTGATTTGTGGACCTAACATTCCAGGTTCCTATGCAATACTGTTCTTTACAGCACTGAACCTTACTTTCACCACAGACACTTCCACAATTGAGTGTTATTTCCACTTTGGTCCAGCTGTTTCATTCTTTCTGGAACTATAAGTAATTGCCTTTTGCTGTTCCCCGGTAGCATATTAGACACCTTCCAACCCAAGGAATTCATCTGGTGTCATATCTTTCTGCCTTTTCATAGTGTTCATAGGGTTTCATGGCAAGAATACTTGCAATTTCCTCCTCCAGTGGGCCAGGTTTTGTCAGAACTCTTCACAATGATCTGACCTGTCTGTCCTGGATGACCCTGCAGGGCATGGCTCATAGCTTCACTGAATTATGCAAGTCCCTTCGCCACAATAAGGCTGTGATCCATGAAGGGGAGTAGCCAAATGATTCAGCATCAAGCCACCTTTCTGCTGGTCGGACTCTGATAGAATACCCCTGTCCTAGTAACTGCCTTGACTCTTAACCTTGGGGTCAAGTCTACCTTGTATTCTGGATGTGTGCTGTGCTAAGTCGCTTCAATCATGTCTGACTCTTTGCAACCCTATGAACTGTAGTCCACCAGGCTCTGTCCTTGGGATTTTCTAGTTAAGAATACTGGAGTCGATTGCCATGCCCTCCTCCAGGGGCTCTTCCCTACCCAGGGGTTGACCCTGCTTCTCCTATGTCTCCTGCATTGACAGATGGGTGTCTTACCACTAGTGCCATCTGGGAAGACCCACTTTTTTGATGAGACACCAAATACCTGTCTTGGTCCAGTGCATGAGATTGAATCAGTCCTCCATGATGGGATTTCTGGCTTTTTTTCTCAGTTGTCCTAGTTTTCTGAGTTTGTCCTAGTTATAAAACCTGGTCTTATGAGTAAGGTCTTGTGACCACTGAGAACATCTTTGGTTTCAGTCTCCTGCTCAGGCCTCTGACTAGGATCTACTCTAACCTGGGCTCCCTATCAGCTGGCTCTGCTCATGGCTTGTCACAGTGTCTTTGATTTGTCCACTTTCCGTAGTCCCTGAGCCTCCTAGATATTCTGATTCACCTTTCAAACTGGACTAACTCCCCACACCTTCCACTGAAGAAATTGCTATGAGCACATATGTACTACAGTGGGCTCCTCTGTTCCAGGTCCTGTTTCCTCTCATATTCTGTCCTTTTGCAGTTGACCTTGGTCCAATCCTGCTTGAGGTCATGGAGGAAGAGGCTGAGCTTTAATTTAGAGGATCAAAAATAAGATGAAAGGGGGGGAATCACACCCTGTATTTAAGAGCAAATAGCATTTTTAAGACTAAGAAGACAATAAAAATGAAGTTGGCTAGCCCTTGAGTCTTCTAATTCTTTTTGGCTTCACTTGGTTTAATATAAAATGAAAACATTTTAACCTCAAATAATTTCAAATTAATATCTAAAAAATCTCTATGTTTTGTAATCACTTTTTTCAATGGATTGAATAGGTAGCTTTTCACATCACTGGAGATTGAATTTACTTTGTAAGTAATTTTTCTTTTTTTACATTTTAGGTGTTACACAATGACCTCATTATGGAGATGAAGCATCCAACTGTGGGGAAGATATCAGTCCCAGGTTTGAAAATCTTTATTTTTCTTAACTCCTTTCTTCGTAAATTTATTCCATGTGCTGATATCTGCACGTAACTGATGAGCCTCCAAACAGCTTGTAAAGACATTATCCAAATTTTTTATTCTGGATAAAAGGGGAATCCTAGAATCATACCCACAAGCATGTTTGCTAAGGCTATAGACTTGTGTTTTCACTCTGATTGTCTGGGTGACAAAAAGTACTTGTATTATGTAACTCCATTCTGTGGAATCATGGACTCACATAAGTGCTGTATGTTACTGCCAACAGATAGATGGCGATAGATGTGGAAAATATTATGAAATTGCACTTGGCTCATATGATGATGAGAAAGCAAGCCAGGCACCATAGAGGTGGTGTCCAAGCAAGGCTGTTGACTTCTCAGGCCAGGGCATTTTTTTTTTTCTTCCCATACTATGGTTTAGGGTATGGATCTTAGCTTTGTTGAGATAAAAAAACCAAATGCTTTCAGTAAGTCCAGAATATATTGAATTTGTAGAAGTTGACTTATACCCAACAGACTCACTGAAGACATTTTGGCCTTAAGGTAAATTGACAAGTTTTTCAGGTCCAGGGAGAGTTCTCTTTCCAGTAGCCGGAAGCCTCAGGCCTAACTCTCAAAGTATCCAAATTGTAGTGACAGCTTGCAATCAATCCATTGGCCCGCATAGACCATACTTCTCTAGTAATCATGAAATTACTATCCCTCAGATCTGCTGTATCTGTTCTGGCGACTGCTGGAAAGCCCCTCCATGTACTTGTCCTCTGAGTCCCTTTCTTTCCAAACTATATGCAAATCATTCCCTTATTTTTTCTTTAATTCTAGCAGAGAATAATAAAATTAGTTTATGACTTTGGTTATTGTTTTCTTGAAACTATATCCTGTTTGCCTTGCTTGAAACTTGAGTATTTCTCAAATCCCTCAGTCACCTCAGTCAAATGGCATAAGTGTTTACTTCTATAGGTATCAGATCTCATTTCTTGAATAACTGATGTTATTAAGTTGTTTTGGGGTATAATCTAATTATAAGATTTGGGAGCAGCTGGATAAAAATGTCCCAGAACAGATTAGACATGGCCATTGGCCAAACGAAAAGAATGAGAGGAGGGAAGTATGATGAATAAAGCATATTGGAGGAAATTCTGATATTTAGTATACAGAACATTATATTGAATTAAGGGAGGTAAGTAAGAGAGAGTAGGTATATCAGAGATTGGGATCACATATTAACAGGGAAATGCTATAGGGTATGGGACTTCCCTGGTGACTCAGTGGTAAAGAATATGCCTGCAATGCAGGGGATGTGGGTTAGATTGCTGGGTCAGGAAGATTCTCTGGAGAAGGAAATGGCAACCCACTATGGTATTCTTGCCTGGGAAATCCCATGGACAGAGGAGCCTGGAGGGCTACTGTCCGTGGGGTCGCAAGAGTCAGACATGAGTTAGCAACTAAACCACCAACACAGCTATGGGCTATAGAAAAGTAGTGAAAAAAAACAGCATGTTGATAAAAGCTAAGAAAATTATTTATTCATTTATATTATTGCACATATATTATATACTGATAAAATTCTAAGATGTACAGCAATCTCTTTTAAATCTCCTTTTGGAAAATTTTATTTTTGTTCCTTTAATTTTGATAGGACCTAGGCATCTTTTTGCTATGTCTATCTTATTTACTAACCTTATATTCTCTCTGTAGAATTATCAACAGAAGAAGTCTCAGATTTGAGGTGACATGCATGTGTTTAGATTATTTTTGGAACGAGTATCTGAGTGTCTTTTGAGGGCAGCACATCTGGACTCCCCATGAAGGGAAGAGGCAATTCCACTCAGAGACATCAGATAAAAAGTTACTATGCAGTGTGTCTCAGCAGCAGGCTACTCAGATAGGACAAGAGATACTAAATGCAAAGAGCATTTATCAGTAAATAATTAAATTTTTTCTGTGGATTGTCATTTTCATTGATTTTATTTATCAATGATAGTTCTGCATTTCTTTGTAAGGGATGGCCTCATTGGAGACCTCATGAATGCCATAGAAATAGCTCAGATTTTCCCATAATGCCTCAATGAGTTGAATTTACCAAACAGGCAAGGTGAGTAGAGGTAAAAATGATTTTATGCCACACTGTTTTCTAGTTAGCCAGTGGAGACACATTTTTGAATTCATTAAATGTAGCTCTACAGTTTCATATATATAACTGCATCTTTATATTTACAGTGACAATCATACTTAAAACTATTTATTTATACATCGTTTGTTATTAGTGAACCTCTTGTGAACAGTACTGAATTTTCTATATATTGCACTTATTTGCCTGAAGGACTGTCTGTCTTAGTCATTACTAGAAACTTGTTTCTTGGAGAATAATATTTATGGCACCTTTTAAAGAGAGGTATAAATCCACAGCATTCCCTCAGATTCTCATATTAGAGGTCTTCTATAGGAGATGCTAATTGATTAAAACCTTAAAACTACTAGTCCACCAATGTTAAATACACTTTTAACAGGGATGGGAAATTATTTACCTCTTCAAAATTTCTTTTTCCTGCTTAAATAATTATTGTCAGCACTGAATACATTGTTCCAATATTTATAAGCATTATCCATATTAAAATAAACCAAGTAGTATAGTCCAAACTGTCTCCTTTATTAATTTATATCTATTGTAACATGCTATCTTTTCATGTCATTTCCCACTACCTTCAATCTCTAGTAAACAGTTACGAAATTTAGTTTGTGTTTATGTATGTCGGAGTTAAAGCTTGCTAACTAGTTAATGCTCATGAATTATCTGTAAATGTAAGTTGTAGTTTTGCTCATACTGGTGTTCTTTCTCCATACATTGTTTGCTAAACTACTATCTCATTTGACCTTTATAGTCTATTTTACAGTTAAAGGTAGAGAAAAAAACTGATTATTAATTGGAGTAGAGTTGAGAAAAGACATCATGTCTCTCTTTGCCCAACTTGAGTCATCCAGTGTTCTGTAAGTCCCCAGTGAGTGGAGCAGCCATTAGTTTTAGCTCACCATTAGTTTAGTGACAGACATGTCATCACATTGGGCACAAGTTACTAATTTGCTCACAGTTAACTAAGATGACCTGGTTGAGTGATAATCTTAAACACACCCACATTCACACACATAACTCAAGTCACCAAGCCTACCATGTTCCACACACTGTATGATATTCTGGTAGTAAAGTTGTAGCCAGGACAGGCCCAGTCACTCATGGAACTTACAGTTTGCCAGAGATCCTTTTTTTTGAATAATAGATTCAGAAAAATGAGATGGGCATTTCCATGGAGAACCAGAGGCAACAGCAGAATGATCTGAAAGCTCAGATGAGAAAGACCTCGCCTAGAGTGCAGGTCAGGAAAGCTATCCCTGAGAATGAAATGTAGACAGACATATGACTGATGACCAGTTGCCAGCTGGGCCAAGCTGCTGTGGGCTGAGGGAGGGGTGTGGAGATGCTGGGCAAGGTGCTGGAGGAACTGAGAAAGGGCTGGAATAGAGATGACCCTGGAGAGGTAGCCAGAGGCCAGGACAATAAGACCTCAAGAGGAGCTAATGATCATGTTAGAGACAAATCAAAATGTAAAGGAGATCTAGGCTGAGGTCTCAGATCTCAACTACCTGAGCCATAAGTGGAGGCGGGGGGTGGGTGGGAATGAGACCTGGAGGAAGAGTTTGGGAAGAATCTCAAACCTATTTTTGGCAGATGCTCTCATTGACTGCTTTTAGGTATGATTTCTAAAATGGTTCTAACTTCATGGAAATTTTTCTTTTTCTTTCTTTTTTTTAAAATTTTTGACCATACTGCCTGATATCTGGGATCTTAATTCCCTGACCAAAGATTGAACCTGTGCCCCATGCAGTGAAGCAAGGAGTCTCAACCACTAGACCACCAAAATTTTTTATAAAACTTCTAATGTCCTGAATTTTAAGCTTTGAAATTGAAAAAACTTTCATTTATTAATTAGTGAAATGAAAAAAAGGACATTAAATTTCAGACCACATTTCCTCAGTAAAAGGCCATCATATAAACATCATCTTATTTGTGACTTTAGTGGGAGGATCTTACACTAGTTATCACATACGGAAGGAGTGCCACTTTCCACTGAGCATATTCTCCATTTTCATCTTCTTGTGATTACCACTGGGTACTGGCCTTTTAGCCAAAAAGGAACACATTGTCCTTCCATGTACTGTGTAGGTGCCAAAACAGTCTTGGTGCTGAGTTCCAAATTTCAAAGGATGTCACTGAAATAGAATTTGACGCATAACTCTAAAGTTTCTCACCATAACTTGTTCCTGATACCTCCTGGTGAATGTGCGTGGTCGTTATTTGATTCTAGTAGCACTTCTGGGAAGTATTTGAGTGGTGAGTGTGTCAGGGTTGTGAGAAGGCAGCAGTGTTCTATCCTACAAAATGATTTTAAATTGAATTACCTTTGTCTGTTGGTCCCCTGATCTGTTTTCAGAAAGCAGCTTCAAGTTCTTTTAAATAAAATTTTTTTAAGTTTTTTTTTCTCATTTTAATATTCATAACAATTTTTAGCTAGGGAGCGTTGGGTTCAAGAAGAACAGTCATTGCTATGAATTAATATTGTTGTTGTTTAGTCACTAAGTCGTGTCCGACTCTCTGTGACCCCATGGACTGCAGCACCCCAGGCTTCCCTGTCCTTCACCATCTCTTGGAGTTATGAATTAATGTAGCTCAAACCAAATTACTGGAATATTGACATTTGGATTTTATGGCTACTTTTTTAGAATTTGAATGTACTTCTTTATTTGATGATCTAACATACTGTATTTCTGAATGTTTTGCAAGACTTTTTTTTAATAAGTGATGATCTGAAACATCTTTCTTTTGTATGCTCCTGAAGAGCAAAAGACACTGTCATTTTAATTCTAACCAACACCCTTTATACCAAGATAGTACTTAACAGGTGTTTTCTGGATGATGATTAGGATA